GAGAGAGAGAGAGAAAAGAGGGAGTCCGCGAGTTTTTCGGTTTGGAAAAAGAAATCGGAGACGGCAGACTACTGGATCCGGGGCTACTACTGTTCAGCGGCTTTCGAGCTTGCGAACTGACTGAAATCTAGGATCGGCCCGCTCCGGGCGTCATCATATCGGGACGCTATTTTCGGCGTCCCGACGACTCCAGAAACGCGCCGCGCGCGTCCCCCCCGGCTCCCCCTTCGCCACCCTCCCCCTGGCGTCCTTCCACACCCTCCTCCCTGCAGCCGCTCTCCGACCGCTCTCTCGTCTCTCCGCCACCCTTCTGCTCCTTCGTCTCACTTTTGGCGTAGCCTCTCCTTCTCCTGTATCTCGATGCAGTGTGCCGGGTGCAACTTTTCTACGTTACGCCCGCGTCTACTCTTTCTCTCCCTGTATCTCTTTTTTCCCCTCACTCCTCCTTTTTCCTCGAGTTTCCTTCGAGCTTCTTCGAGCTTTTTCATCCCGCACTTCCGTCGCTCCTTTCGTACGAGATTTTTCAGTTTACGATACCAGTGGCCGATCTTCTCGATGACATCCCCGCCTCTTCCTCCCACTTTCTCTTCTTCTCCTCGCCGTTCTTCTTTTACGAGTATTTATGGAGCGACCTGTACCTCCGATTTGCGCGAAGAAACGAAACGGGGTCGACGTAGTCTGACGCGAATTCCGGAGGAACGGTTTTGCCTCGCGCGGCTCCTGGGATTTTTCGGTACCGGGTGAAGTACGGGGGACTTCCGACGCGCGGGTGTACGCTTCGTTAAATTCATCTCCCTCCGGCTTTATTCTCCGTGTTAAATCGTTGATGTCGCGTCGCCGTCGCCGTCGCCGTCGCCGCCACCGCTGCAATCTGTTGACGTTGACATTGGCGGAGTACTGTAGCGGACTCCGGTGGTGGTCGAGGCCCTCTCCCGGGACACACGCGCGCACGTGGTGAAAGCTGAGAGGATGCTGCGATGTCAGCACGCAGACGTCATGTCGTAGGGCCCGTGGCGAATCGCGACCTCGCGAGCTCGGGCGGCTCGCGGCACTATTACGATGGAGACGAAGCGAGCGGCAGATTGTTGAGCGAGGGGACTGTCGACTTGGAGGCGAGCGGGCAACAGCCGACGACGACGACGACAATGACGTCCCGCGACCGGACCAACGAGTTCGCCAACGCGATCCGCTCCATGCAGAGCAGGACCGTGGCGCGGACCGCAGCGAACCTGCAAAATCCGCGCCGTGCACGCCAGATACAGAGCTACTCCAACTTCATGATGATAGCCAAGAACATTGGCAGGAACATCGCCAGCACGTACGCCAAGCTGGAGAAGCTTGCCCTATGTAAGAGCTGAGCGAGCGTAGCCAAGCTCGGCTACAATATGTTGCGTTCAAATAAGAGATATCGCAAACAATAGAATTGAACAATCATTTGTTGCGGAGATTATTGTTGTTTCTTGGGCCTTATTCGTAAATTTGTGTGAAACTTAATATATAACTTCAAATTGTTAGAAACATCGTTAGGATTATCATTGGCCGTCTCAACTTTTATTGTTTAGAATTTTATGACATATGTACTTAACGAAATGAAAGTAAGAAACGAAACAAACATTAAAATGATAGGGAAGCTACTCTGAAAACATTAAAAGTGTTCTACGATAACTAATATAAACTGCCTGTTACAGTGGCCAAGAAAAAATCCATATTTAACGACAGACAAATGGAGATCGAGGAGCTTACAAATATTATAAAAACGGATCTAAAAAGCTTGAATGTTCAAATCGGAAAACTGCAAGAGCTCGGAAAGTCGCAGAGAGAGAGCTTCGGCTCCTCCCAGAGTCATCACATTGCCTCGCACTCTTCCTCGATTGTGATGGCATTGCAATCAAAGCTAGCTAATATGTCCAATCATTTCAAAAGTGTCTTGGAAGTTCGTTCTGAGGTACGTAACCTAAAATAAACAACATTCTTTCTGATATCAAATCATTCAAATCAATTCATTATCATCATAGAATATTTTAGTACAGCACTAATTAATTTTTGCATTTTGATATTACTATTATTAAACAACAAATTTCGTTAATATTAACAAAGGAAATACGCGATTAAAAATATTATGGAAAATTAGAAAATAATAATGTGTAAATTGTTTGATGTAGAATATGAGAGAGGAACAAAGCAGGAGGCAGCAGTTCACTCAAGGATCTGTGTCCACTATGCTCCCTCCGAGTGTTGTTTCTGGAAAACAAGGTTCTCTGTTGCTGCAGGAAGAGATTTCTAGTAGTAGTTCAGTTGCGATAGATCTTGAACCTGCGATGAATCAGCAGCTGCAACAAATTATACAAGATGATACCGTAAGTAATAGCGGCGAGAGTGTGAAGTAATTTAACATAATAGAGAGTACATCTATAGTATCTGCTTCTTGAAGGATGCGTACGTGCAATCGAGAGCCGAAACTATGCAGAATATAGAATCTACTATAGTTGAGTTAGGCGGCATTTTCCAACAATTGGCGCATATGGTTAAGGAACAAGAAGAAATGGTTGAAAGGTAAGAAGTGATGTAATGAATCTAAAAGAAACGGATATATCTTTAAAAAATACTTTAATTTGTTGAAATATAACGCATGTATAAATTTCTAACTCTCAAATGTAATTGACGTTACAGGATAGACAGCAATATAGAAGATACCGAGCTAAATGTGGAAGCTGCACACACCGAAATACTGAAGTACTTTCAGTCTGTGACAAACAATAGGTGGCTAATGATAAAGATATTTGCGGTCCTGATATTTTTCTTTATATTTTTCGTAGTGTTCTTAGCATAACACTATCGATACTGTATTTATAATATCATTACACTTTATCATCCATATCCACTGTTTGTGATATAAGAAACAGAGAGAAAATGGTTTTTTTACAAAGCTACGACATTCATACAGGCTAAAATGAAAGGTATTTTGCGTGCATTCCTCGCCCTTTCCCCCTGAATTGTGAATATTGTAAGTACATTTAAATACTATTGTAAGTATTTAAATATTACGTTACTCGTGTATATCTCGCATTTCGCTGAATACAAGAAAATGTAAAAAGGAAATATTTCTATAGATAATAAATGCATAATTTTCATTTTTTGGGGGCGAAAAATTTTACAATTAAACAAATTGTGTTTTATAAGGAATATGAACATCGAAAATAAAAAATGGTTTATATATACTTATATCATAAATCGACTACATATTCTTAACATTTCATTTTAGTTATTTTGATAAAAAGATAAAAGAATAAAAAAATATCTAATTTCTCTTATTTTACGTAGAATTATATAATTAAATTTATAATAATCTCTGACACACAGCCTATCATAATAAATTACAATTTATTTCAATTTTCAAAACCATATATAACAATTATATCTTTTTATCTTCTACATTGATTATAAGAACTTTATTACAATATTTCCTCTACTACGAACATTTGATATCTAAAGTATGTTACCAGAAATGTATAATTTAATTACATGTTTCCAGTATTTTTTTCCATTTTCACAATAAAATCAAAACGTATAAAAATATTTTTATCAATTTTTATAAATAATTTATTTTCTAAAATTGTAAAATAAAAAACTAATTTGTCTGATAACTGATGAGTGATGATAAAAAGATTGCTCTTTTTAAGAAAAGCAATAGGGAACAGTAGTCTACTATGTAGTAATCACAGATATAATAACAACATTTACAGATGACACTGTTTAATGAATCCCCATGTATAATACGTTATCTTCTATTAATATTTGATGTAAAATTTTCATCATCACATATTTATTTATAATTGTTACACAATGAGAACTCTCACTGATATAGTGATGATTTGGCCTTTGTACAAGTGAATAACAAGATACAAAACTTAGACTTTCCCGTGATGCGCCTTATCCAGTGATTCTCCCGAAGAATGTAAGGAACCTAAAAAAGTTAATGTGTAATTAAGTAAAATATCCTTTTCAATATATTTCCTAATTACTGTGATACACGCAAGTAAAAAGATAAATCTACGATTTAGACTGTAGAATGGTATGAAAATTAATTTTACTACATTATGATATAAAAACTTATAAAAAATAGACAAATTTAGCTAGCCTATATTTGAAATTTCACAAAAAACATTTTAATTACAATAATAATAAGAACGATATAAAAATACTGAAAATATATCAAAAATATTAAATGGACATTGTCACTAGCATAAATAAAAATCGTCGATTATAAATTCTTTAACCTGACATCTATTTGAGATTATTTCCTTCCATAGTACTCCAAAACTGTCTCACTTTAGAGAAACGTTTGCGTCCTTGCATGCACAAAAATATAAAAAGGCAGATAATAATAACAAAAACACACGAAACTTCCCAAAAAGTTGAAAAACATCGTGCGGACCAACGCTACGTGGCATGCCGGCGAAGTGCGTGTGTCGTCGCTCTCGTGTGTCACATCGTTTTCACAAACCTTTATGATTGCGCGCACGTTGCTCTCGTTGAGGTGGATGAAAACCAGAATTGCGCGGGTGCGGCAGTGATTCTTCACCCCATGGATGCGTCGTGCCGATGGGTGGGGGCAATATCGAGCCAGGTGGAGGAAGGGGCGGGATGTGATCACTACCGTACGGATGCGGTGGCGGCGATCTGTGGCGATCGTACGGTGGAAGTAAATGCGGCGGAGACATAGGCGGCGGCGGGGAACCGGCGTTCTCGTACCTGCCCCCGGAAACCGGGGGACGATGTAACGCCGGCGGCGGCAACATCGGCGGGGGTGACGACAGTCTGCCGCCGAGTGGCGGAGGACGTTGACTGATATCGTACGGAGGTAGACCGGAAGCGGCGGCGGGCGGCAAGGGCGGTAGATACGGGAAACAGTGCAGATAGGAGGGTGGCGGGGGTGGTGGGACTCCCGAGGAACCGCTAAACATTACGGGAGAGCTGGACGACTCTGCTCCTATGAACAGTGGCGGGGAAGTCGTCGTTTCCCCGTTCGCTTCCAGGCCTGTGTTTGGAAATCAGTTTGAGAAAACAGACAAATCCAGAGGGCTTTTATAAATTCCGCCGTCCGATACTTTGCGATCCGCCGTCTGTAGTACGTGCGTTGCCAACGGTGCTTATTATCTCAGATAATATTGCTATAGCACAAATTTTTTAATAATGACCCGCTAAGAAAACTAAACTAAACTGGTTTTACTCTACGGATCGCAATGTTACTGCGCGTTACAGTTTCTAAGATCTTTATGACAAATCATTATTCGTCTACGAAAAATGGATATACATATATTTCTATGTGGACAAAAGTTAATGTAACAACGATCGACGATAAAATCTGATACAAGCTAAAAATTGTACTTTACTCGTTATCGTAATTCTTTGCTAAATACGGGTATTAATTAATGCCTTGTAATAGGAATACTTACGGTGTAGCTTTGCTTCGGGATCGGTATCATTTAAGTTTTTCTCTACGAGTGTAAGACGATTACGTAATTGGCTAGCCTCGGCCTTCGATTCTTCCAAACGGCGCTCGTTTTGGCGGGCAGCGACCTTGCAAAACAAAACGAAATTTTATATGAATATTTCCCAGTGTAGCATATATATATATACTCTTTTCATATAGGCAATACGTACCCATTGCTCATGTGCCTTCATTTCCAGAGCAGATATTTGATTTTTGTATTCCCTTTCCTGATCCACAATTTCCCGTTTTAACATCTCTACTTGTTGTCTGAAATTCAATTTCCTGTAATGAGCTAATTGCAGCGCATATAAACTCATTAAATAAATTCCTGTAATAATGACGATGCGAAAGTATCCAATTTCAACTCTAACGACGTAATTTTCACAAATTAAATTCTACATAAATATCAAATAATATGCTTACTTATAATTTTGAATTTCATTTTGCATCGTGTGTAACCTTTCGACCGTCGATACAACTTCTCCTTGTTTTTGTAACCAAATGGTCTCTTCCCTAAAAACGATTAAAGTACATTAATAATTTATTAACTGTAGTGCTTAAATATAAAATTATAAGAGTAATCATCACTTACTTCTGGCGTTCGGTTTCCTTATCTTGGAAAAACTTTGATAAAACCTCAAGTCGTGTCTCCGCATCTTTCCTTTCTTTTTCAGCCATTTTACACTGATCGCTTAGCGCAATTATCTCTTCCTTAACAAGTTTCATATGTTCTACGACACAAGAGTTATTGCCATTAATAAGATTAAGTTAAAAATATTGATCATATTAGAGGAAAAAAATTAAATATCTTTAAGAAAGTACCTTCTAATAACTGATGAGCGCCGTTAACATCGTTTAATCGCATCTTTAATTCGTCTCTCTCCTCACGCAGTTGCACTACTTCAATTTTAATGCTAGATACGTCGTATAACTTCTCCAAATCCAAGTTGTTTGATTTGATTTGACTGATAACGTCTAACAGTTCTTTCACTTCGATCTCTTTGCCTCTCAATTCTTTATACAGTGAAGACTTTTCAGTAGACAACTAAGGAAAAAGTATATCTTAATAACTGAATCACATGTCATAGCAAGCATATCTACATATCAATTAAACGTTCCAATTTTTATATATTAATTTTGACTAGCGTATATAATTATGGACTTACTTCGTCTACTTGCTCTTCAAAACTGTGTACTTTATCTGTTAGCGTTTGTTCTATATTATTTTTAAGACTTTTTTGAGTCGTCAATTCATCCTGTGTTTGCAAGTATTTTACTTCGAAATCCTCGCATTTCTTCTTAGCAGAGGCAAGATTTGCTGATAAAGCCTCAATCTGCAATATATAAATTTGTCATGTATATTAATTAACATATAAATCAGCCATTAAAAATTAATAAAAAGACAATAAATAAATAAGTAGAAAGTAGAACAAAACAAATGACGTCCAAACATGCTATAAATAAATATAATATAAATATCATCTTTAAAAATGTTTATTATATTCGTACAGCTATACAAATATTAATCTCAAGTTCACAACTACATCACAATGAGAAAAAAAATTAATCCTTTTCTAAACAAATAAAATAGAACCGATCTTAATGTGTCGTAAATAAATAACTCTTACCTCTTGAGCCTTAAGGTTTAACGCATTGGTTAAGGATTCGTTCGCGGTTTGTTGCGCGTCTAATCGTGCCTGTAGATCTTCCACCGATTGGGCTAGCGGATTAACTTCATTGTTTGACAAAACTTCCCTTAGCATACGCTCGAGTTCTAATCCAGCTTCAGTTGCGTTCTCTAAATCTTTCTCCAACATAGACACTTGCTCTTCCAACTCTATCTTCGTGCACTACGGACAGAGGAACGCAAATTTCGAAATGCGATTTTCAATTCGTACAAAACGTAATAAAAGCAAACGAAAAATAATTGTGCATTGTACCTGTGACACTTCTAAATCAGCTTTTAGCGATATAACCATTTCGTTAGAACCAAATGATTCATCTTCTATGCCTTGCAACTAAAATATAAATGTTTTAGTACACGTTAATACGTTTCGAACGTTAATAATCGAAAAAAGAAAACGTGCCGAAGTAGCGATGAGTCAACTTGCTCATGCACTGCTCACCTTATCTTTAATAGATTTTAGATTCTCAGTGAGTGTTTCGCATTCTTTCGTTGAGACTAACAACTCTTTCTCGAGTTTATTAATCCTTGCAATAAGTTGTCCATCTCTTCTTACATTCTGGACAAAAATGTGTATACGATTAAGTTTTATTGAATGACGTTGTACTCAAATGCATTGCGTGATTAATCACATGACATCTCAAAACAGGAATAAATCATAATTAATAAGGTCGCTTTATAAATACGATTTCAACAGATTTAGAATAAACTTAAATTACGCTTCTGATTTAAGTTCTTCTGTTTCGAGCACTTTAAATATAAACGAGATATATTTACCTCAATGTAATAATAGCCGAGAGTGAACACTAGTGTTGTCAAGGCTGTTACACACAGGTACATCAATGTTTTCCAATAATTATGATCCAACTTGACATCAAATAAATTATCTTCTCCATTTACAAAGTCTTCATTCTATTGCACAGAAAAAAATTATGCGCAACAGACATATGCAAATTAGTATGCAGGAATTCTCATTTATTTTGTTGAAACTCAGTTACCTCGGTCGCGCAGTCAGTTGTAGATACAAATTTCTTCAAGCCATTATCTCCGTCCTCATTTTTAGACGAAACCTTATCTTCACTGTTTATGTGATCACCATATTCAGGTAAGATTCCCTCCTCTACAGAATCGACGGTTTGACCTTCGACTGAACATACAAAGCATTTAAGTTTAGATACAACCAATATCAAAATACATTAAAATTAAATATACGTTCTATGTAATGCTAAAACCCTTCTATACTATTAATTAACCAGTAAACTTACCATCTTTGCGTTTCAAATTTTCAATGCTCGGCAAATCTCGTTTCCTGAGAATTTCGTGGAGAGTCATTGCTTGCTCTGAGATTACACTCTCTTGACTAGAATCCACAGATTGCTCCTGCCCGACCACGCTAGATTTCGCACCGTTCGATAATTCGTTAGATTCTGTAGGAACATTGTCAGAGCTAGTACCATTGACTAAATTATCATTTCTATTTACATAACTATGTACAATTGATTCATTATTAAATTCAATATCTGCAGCGCTACGATTTAATGCCTCTTCTTCTGTAATCGCTAGAGTCTCGTCAACAGAATGACTCTCGGGGAATGATTCTGTCGCGATATTTTCTGCCGTGTCAGACGGTGAGCTAACAGTTTCTGAAATTTCAGCAGTTACTTTGTCAGCCTGATCAACGATTTCTTTGTAATCAGCATCTTTCTTCGTATTTTCTAGCTGTGCTTCATTACTTTCGGGTGATTTCTGCTCGCTATCGTCGCTATTTTGAGTAGTGATTTTAGTTTCTTGCAAATTAGACAAGATTGTTGATTCTTCTTCGCCAGAAGTAACTGCACCATCAGTCCTATTTTCGATAATTATCTCCGGTTCACTCGTTTCCTGTACTTGAACAAATGGTTTTTCTGTATCTTCAACGTGGCTGTCAACGTCGGCTTTTGCAGAAGCAGAACTATCGTCCGCTAAAATTGGAGGTGCTGTTGGCAATTCTTTGGCAGGCTTATCAGCATTTTCATGTACAAAATTATTGATTGAAGGCACGTCACTAGATGCAGTATTTTCCAAAATAATCGCGGAAGCTTCATTTATCTTTTCATCTGAAATTTCTGCACTTTCAATACTCTCATACATAACTTCCTGCTGCATTTCTACTTTTTCTTTATCTACAAAACCTTGGTCTATACTCGATTCCGACTTTATTCGAGCTGAAAGAATTTCTTCGGTTGCAGCATCCTTAGCTTCAACATTTTCGGAAACTTGCTCCTCTAATTGCAGACTGCCCTCGACAGCAGCTTCGGGAACGGCTACATCATCGCTACTTTGAGTAATGGTGCTCTCCGGGTCCGCGGCTACTGAGCTAGATAAAATTTGAAACGTTTTCGTAATTGAGGCAAATATACTGTCGCTTTGGACTTGTTCCGTAACTTTCTCCTCGTTATCCTCTACATTCTCCTCAACGTTGCTATCTGATTTTTCCTTATGTTCTACATCTTTTAACGATTCCTCATTGGATTCACTACTCCCGTCAAGCGCCAAAGTGTCATCTTTGCTGACTGTGTCTAAGGAACCGCTTATTGCTTCTAAATTCTCTAGCAAACTGGGGCTAGCTTGTTTCTGAGTATCCACCGACAATTCAATTCCTCCAAGTTTACTGGCGTCGTTCGTGCCCGGTTGTGACTCTTTGTTGCTGACAAATGTATCCCTGTCGGATGATAATCCCTTGTGGGCTGTATCGGAATCAGAAATCACTGAAGCTGGCTCATTCGGCAATGCGGTAGCGTGAGCGACTTCAGCCACAAAGCTGGGCTGCACGGACGGGCCACTCTCAAAATAAACCGTGGTTCCGTCTATCACTTCGTACGAAGGTGTCGCGCTATCCGCATTGATCGCATGAATCTCTTCCGTGGTACTTTCATCTAAGGATTTTAACGACGGTGTCTGATTATCATCCAGGGATAATTCATCCTTCAACAAAGCATGCAATTCCTCTCCTGTGTCAACAAAGCCGCTCTCCTTCTCCGTCGGCTCGAGCTTCTCAGGCTGAACTCTGTTAGCCTCACCATTAAACTCATCAACAGGCACTTCGTGCGACAAAACACGTTTTAGAACTTTATATTCCTTTAGGAATGTCTTGGGTGCAAATCCACGCTTGCCGTTTATCTGAAACAGATGTCGATATGTCAAGAAGAACATGTCTTTTGTGGAATGAAGGGATATCAATCTTGGACATCAGCAGGGGGTTCAAATTTTTTAAAAATATGAATAAAAATATGTATTACGTCAACAATAAAGTCAATGATATTTCAGATGAAGATATTAATAAAATATACCTCGACACCCCATAAATCTGTCCGCTTTCCAGCGCCTTTACTGAAAACTTTGACGTCTACATTGGCACGAAACGACATCACCTCAGGATCGTTCGTTGCGTAAGCGAGTATGGTCCTGGCCAGCGAGATGGGCTCTAAAATAACAGTGAAAGTAACGCAACGATCACGATCACGATGCGGCTAAGTGGAACGAGAAAAGTAGTGTTATGGGTTTCGGATCTAAAGTATGGCTTCAATTACCCGAACAATTTGGGTCGTAACATAATTGCTTGTCGGACAGGGCGGCCAGGCATACCGGTATTGCGCAGAGAATTGTCGCGATACGCAGAAAAGAAACATTCGTAGACGGATTTATTTTCGTCATATTTTCACCGTTGCAAAGTTCCACATCACTACCGACGTCTACTATACCACACAATGACACACTGCAGTGCCTCCCCCAGCAGCACTCAGACGCACAACGTGACCACGAATTACGCGCTCTGTAGAGAGTAAATTCATTCGTGGTTTTCTTTTAACGCCATATTGCCGTTGATCTCAATTAAACATTTGATTTGTTCGTGTTGCTTGAAATTCAAAATTGTTGTTAAAATGAAATAAATACATATTTGGGCGTTGGAAAGAAAAAAAGAAAGCGAAAATTTTGAGTACGAAAAGTGCAGTATAAACACATCTATTGTTAGCGAATAATTCAGTTTAATTATATTAAGAGTAAAATATAATACTTTATAATTTAATAGCATCTTAGTCGATAAAATATTAATGTTCACATTTTAGCAGATTGAACATAGCGCTTTCCCTTTATAGCGTAATAATTCTCATAATTCTTGGAATCGCGTTTCTTGAAATTCTTAGAAAATTCTTGGAATTTCAGCTATTACATTTAAGATTTGTACTTAATATTTCACCAAGTTGAGAAATGATGTTACAACTTACCTCACAATTTCTAACTTGTTGGAGGAAAAGTTTGCTGGAGGGATAAATAATTAAAAAGATTCGATGATATATAGAAGGAATTTAATAATATTATCTTAAAGTTTTCTTTTAACATATTTTGTTCTACATGACTAGATTATAAAAGCAATTAAAAATTTACGGATTTAACAATATTATTAAATATTATGCATCACAAAAAATGTTATATAGATATATTGAAATTTCACAGTGTAAGTGCGCATTCTTTTGTATCCCTTACAAAAAGAGCTTCAATTCGTCTCTTGTTCTTACACATATAAAAAATACTTAAGCCTCTCTGTATACGAAATATAAAATAATTTCTATAGTAAAGATGTAACACATTTTTTTTCTAATAATTCATAACGCGTTTGTCAAACGTTAAATATGTAACATACGTTTCTGGAAAAGAGAAAGTCGATGGCAAATTTAAACATTTCTCCTTATACAAATTCCTTCAATTCATTATTATCTCATTTTCTCCATGCCTCTAATATATATGTATGTATAAAGTATACTTGTTTTGATATTCTTATTTTTCGAGATTCTTCATATTGATATTGGAAATCAGCATTGTGAGAAATTGCAACAACTCGTAAAATATATTTCTGTAAATAACAAAGCAGAACACTATCTAGGAATCATTACAAAGTAAGAAGATGACTAATCTTTATATAAAACACGCGTAGCCGTAAACATTGGAAAAATATACAAAGAGAACTGTATAATTCCTTTTTTTTTCTGTTTCAATCGATTACTTAATACGCGGCATTACGGATTAATTGTATAAATATTTAATCACTTAGTATATTATAATGCTAGATTACGCGCTGACGCGCGAAGCGGAATTTAGCTGTACATATAACTTTATTGTTCTTAAATATCCTGCGTAAAATTTAAAATGATAACGACTTACGAAGCAGGTATATCGTGGAACTTATTATGCAAGTTGTTACAGAAACTAATTCTAATTAATCTAACTTGATCCTCTCACAATGTCACCCTACGTGTCGTGTGAATTCAATTCCAATATTTCCAGCTTTTCGCAACGTTAATTCTGGAGTGTATACAAATGCACAGCATGACGCTACGTCTAAGTATCTTTTCTATCATGAAAAATAATATCGTATGACTTCGAAAAAATTTAGGAAACGTAATATATGTATATATATTATATTATATATAATATATATTATATACGTATATATACATACATATATTACAAGCATATCTTTTAGTTATACATGTCTAATTTTATGCTATAACGCTTTACAATTGACTACTACAGCAGCGATTATAAACTTTATAAATTCTTTTTATATATCTTCGTCGAAGATCGTAAGTATAGCAAATGCTAGTTTATCACTACTATTACGCCAATATATATCTCATACCTTATACAGAGTGCCTCGGACACGGCAAATTTGCTGTCGACTCTAGATTCTTTGGCAACTTTGAAGTTAACTCAGTGCAAATTTTCTTCGCGCAATTTCTTAATCTTTAACATTCAACTATTTTGGCGACTAAGACCTGAATAGAAAATCTGAAACTTAATCGCCAAAATTCTACAATTTTTTTGGTCATTTACAACTGTAAAATTGGCATCGACCGCGAAGCAAATCTACTTAGATTTTTAATTTGGCCTCTAACAATTGCAGTCCGGCGTAGAATATCTGAGACACTCCGTATACAGGAATTCTTTCAACTGTCTGCTCGAAAAGAATACAAGATTTCATTATATATAGATAGTGTGATATCAACTTCTCTCTCTACTTTTAAATGCTGTATCATATTTTAGTTACGCGAAACTGTCGATTACACATTTAAAACATCTATACCATCAGAAATTAGATAAGTTCGAGAATAATTGCATTTTGTATTACACAAAAATCGCGTGTTACAAGAATATATGAATCACATAAGTGTCGTGAACATCCAAAATCTCTTACACTACCATTTGATTGCCATAGAATAGGGAGAACTTAAACAGACGGAGGAAAAAGCCAATAATTAAATTCTACAGGAATTATGCGGATGAAGATCATGTTTGTTACACATCTAAAATAGAAGTGGTTCTTTCATGAAAAACTAAGAAATACATAATGCAGAATTCTTATTCGTAATACATATTATACGATTAGTCTTTCGTTTTACGAAATAATCAGGATCAAACGTTCACCTGAATGCAAGGTTTCCCCTCAGCCTGCCACTTTCTTATCCTGATAGCACATATGCAAATGTGCCACTTGAATGACTGCTCTGCCTTTCACTTTCTTTCTCGTTCATGTAGTAAATATCAGTAATGGGAGAGCAGGAGTACATCATTTGAAGAAGTTGCAATACGGAACTTCATGAAAACGAGGAGTTAACTGTAATCAACTCTCCGTTAATATGTTATATTTTGATCAAAAGAATGGCGCGCGGGAGGAGAGATGCTATACTTTACGAAACGTGCATTGCGACATGTTGACTGCATTAAACATCAAATATAAAAATATTGAAAATTAAATAACCAAGAAACTGTAAGTACAATTGCCGTACGATCAATTCATTATTAAAATGTAAAATATACGATTCTTGTAGTACAAATTATGAAACATTGATTACATCATAAACAAATTATCGAATTAATTATCCTGTATTATCGATATCGAGTTTCTGCATTACATATTTCCTTGTAAGTACGATAATAAATCTCTGCTACAACTGGCGAAAAAATGAAAATTCAAGGCGCATTAAGATCCATGTACACATTAAGCTAATGTCATTTGTAGAGTTCACGCAGTCTTTGTAAATATAGCGTATCATCAGATCAGTTTCAAGAAAATTTCGAAAATATATGTTCACTATATTTGTTTAGTTATGAATTACGTTGTATGATTTACGTTGTATGATGACGAAACAAAAATTGATGAGCGTAAAGGCTAGTCCAGTGAAGCTAGTGTAAACGTTTGTAGATTATTATTAAAATAGAATGATGATAAATGAGCGTTTGTTTTTCACTTTATACAGTATTGATATAAATCACATCAATTCCTACTGAACTACAAAAATTGGAATCATATTTTCGTCTATCGTTTAACACCAAGCTATTTGTAACTTATCGATCACCTTCTAAATTTCGTCGAATATTAACATCAATTGAACGCTTATATTCATTTTAAATGTACGATGGTTTTTAGAAACCAACAAGAGTAAAGGCAACATTTTTTAATCTTTTTTTTATGAAATTAGATCTATAAGTTTTCATAAAGTCGAGGTAAATATCTTCTTTCGTCTGAGTACTTTCTCTCTACAAATCAACTAATCATTCTCAAGATTGAAAATGAGAAACACGAATCGCTAAATTTATACAACTTTACATCAAAATGTAATAAATTCCACGTTCCTTATGCACGACTTTGCTCGTGTAATTATCTAGTATTGCTTTGCTAAATAGGAAAAATATTCGCGCAACATATCGTAGACTTATTACAAAATTAATGATATTAAAATATATAATAACAAATTTGTCCGAGAGTAATATTAAATATATAAGCAAATTTTAATGTGTGTGCCCTCAAAAATATTAGACATCAAACTTGTCTATACAAATTTAATTGTACAAATTAACGCAACATCACACGCAAATACGTGTTTCAAAGACTTTTCTCTTTACCCTGAATGCGTAATGACAATGAAAGGCACACCGTATAGAACCGTAACGAGTGATTATGAAATGGCACAGATTTGTCTAGATTATTATCGTAATAAATTAAAACGCGATATTTAATCGCTTATACGCCGAACAGCTAATACATGATTAATAAAAATCCTTAAACGATTTAATGTTATGCAAGTTGTAAAAAGGAAGAGGAAAGGCGACAATTAATTTCACATTTACGAGAAACATATGAATTCGGAAATTTCTGCGGAGTGTCTGATATACCGTTTGCAGAAATGGTAAACGCTGCCACATCGTTGATTTGAACGTACTGTCATTTGGAAATGAGGGATTTACTCACGCACTGAGAAACTCGTTGTTTAACTGTATCCTATTTGCACTTTGCGGCACTGGCAAAGCCATTTGATAATACGTGCGTTTCGCTCGACGATACTCGGCGGATCGTTTACCCTTTGGTTACACTCGTCGTTACCCATGCCGATGCTGCAGTTGTTCTGCCACTGGCTACCCGGATTCGTCTGATTGGTGCCGACCCAGGAGTAGAGACCCAACGCCGAGTCCACGGAGCTGACGCTGTCGAAGAACACGGGCGACGACGTCTTGGAGTCGGGTTCCGTTATACGCTGATAGTTATCCGAGTCGAGTCCTAAACGGTCGAAGAAGTTCTCGAGCTGAGTCATCGATCGCGGCGGACGGGAGGATACCTTGCTGGAACGGCCGTTATCCTGGCGCCAATATCGATCGCTGATGTCCGATTTCGATCGTAGGATCGGTCGACCGCGACCTTCCTTCCAACCGTCGGAGAACCTAAAGTCACGATCAAAATTATAACAAGCGTTGTTATGTCGTTCGTCAATTTTCCTCGGGTAGACGATGGGCGTTCTAAATTTTCGCTTACAAGCATCTCAGATGATTGAAAGCGGAAGGAAAGGAAGGATCTCAATACCTTGAATTACAGGTCGGGCTGTAGTCCGTTTGACTATTGCTACTCTCAGACTCCGGGCTGTAGTGTCTCACAACGGACGGCGGTGTCCCACCAATGTAACTGCCTTTCCTCGATCGGTCTTTCTCGGTAGAGTGTTGCGTGGACGCACCGCTGTCTCTGCGTATGTGAGCCCAGCAATCCTGCGAGAGATCGACCATGATTAAGGTCAAACAGCCTTGCGTCTCGGGATATATATATATATACATCCCATCGAACTGTCAATATACCTGTATCCTGGGCGCCGGCTCGCTGCGATGAGTACAGTGTCCGGAGGAGCCGCCGGAGTCTCTGGCTGTCGCGCCATGGCTCAACTTGCTGGACCCCGACGACTTCTGCGTTCGCCCGCCCGAGGATAACACGCTGCTCGCATCGCCGCCACCAGATCCCAAAGATCGCCTGATATGGCGAGAACTGAAAGTCGCAGACAAAAAAAAATTCGCTAATTAATTATATTCACTTTATTTAGAATCAGCTGAAAAAATCGCTGTAGAGCTGGATGCAAACTACACTCTCGGCAGTTTGTATCGTTATCAAACTCATGGCTCAGAGAAAAATCACCTACCTGCGATAGCAAACGGCGTCACGCTTAAAGCTGTGGTCCGAATAATCTGAACTAGTTTCATATTCCGGGCAATTGCCCGTGTTCGTAGCTTGATGATGGGCAGTCGGCTTCGCGGATATTTTCGTGGACGCGCGCGGCGAGAGCGACGCCCGGCGGCGCGTGCTCGTGTGGAGATCCGGCAGCGACTTGTGGCATATCGTGTTTTCCACCGACGGGGAGCTGTTCGACTTCCGACCGGACCTACCGGAAGTGTGCGAGTGCGAGTTGCTTCTGCCGAACTTGAAGCGTACGTCTTGCGGCGCGCAATGCTGCGAAAGAAGTAACGCACCGTAATTAACGATACAGCCAACACAGTGTTCATTGATGAACGCGTATATAAGTTTCCTTGACAAAAAAAAAGTGTATGTGTGTGTACATGATGTGTGTGAACGAGATGCATCGCAGAGTTTAAAATAGCGCACGGGTATGTGAAGTGATGAGTGGCGGCATTATAGCGCGGGACGCGGGAAGATCGATATGTCGCGATATTTCCTCCTCACCAGGATACGATCCTCATCCCGACAGCCGGGCGAGAGACTTCCGGGCGAGTATCGGAATTTCTCCTCCCGCGTCGGCACCCCGTTGCTCTGCGCCGTGCTCTGCGGCGGGCTGTCGGGAAAGAACATGTTCTCCTTGCTGTCGGTGTTCAGCAGCCGACGCAGCTTTGTTTGCAGCTCGCCCCCGGTACCGCTCGGGGGCCCCGAAATCGCCCGTCTTTGGGGAACTGGAACCAAACGTGGACTCTTCGGTGGCAGCGCGGGTGGCAGTGTTTGTTGAGGACTCAGAATCCCGTCTACTGCAAAACAGCAACGAAAGTGTAGATTCTCGTCTGCTGCAAAACAGACGCTTAAACTTCGCGTTAATTTAACATAACAAAAATACGTAAAAATGCGTAATTAGTAATTAAATATAAAAAAATATAATTAATAATAAAATATATTAAAAAATGATAAAATATTTGAAGCTGCGTCAAAGACGACTCCAAAGATTCTAGAGCTTTCCTCAACAGTATGAATTTCGCAAATCTTTTTGATCGGATGATCCCGAAATATCCCGGGATCACCTCGCGTCACTTTGGACTCGCGAGATATCTCTCCAGTGACTTACGTCTGTCCTGTTCGTGACACGAAACCCAACAGCAGGGCGGCGTCAAGGGAGTCGGTTGCAATTGCGACGGCGAGGTCGGCTGCATGGGGCAGCCGGACGAGTTGCCGGGGCATTTCCGCAGCAATCTCGGAGGCGGTGCGCCGGGCGCGCTCAGCTGCGAGACCTGCAAGTGGCCACTGTTCTTCAGCTCCTGCTTCCGATCCAGCACGGTCTCGCTCTTCACGTAGAAGGCTTTCGTCTCCTGCAGCAACTCCACGGCGCTCTTCCGCTTTCCTGCACGGCACGCACGTGGCGTAAAAAAAAAAAAAGAGAAGAGACGGTGAGAGACCACCGGCGTAAATAATCCGCGCTTCCTGGAAGGAAACACACCGCGCTTTCGGGCCTGACTACCCGGTCTATCTGGTTGAACCACGTGCGACAACAGCGGGTCGCCACGTAGCCGCTGAATTTATGGAAGCCGGCACCTCTTTAGAATATTAGCTCCCAACAGGACCTTTGATCTCCGATATTTACGGTCAGGCTTTATATCGAATGTCCCGGAAGTGTCGCATTTCATATAAATACGCGCGCGTGCATCGCATCGGCTTCGAAGCTGATTTTTTATTAACAAGTATAATGGCTATATTTTATGGGAATCCCATCGTTTATATATCGAAACTCGTTATCCTTTGTTTATGCACATATATATTTATTGTAAAAGAGAAAATATAGCGCGGAACTTCCGGGACACACGCACAAAAAACCACAATCCGAATAAGTTCGATGGCTATATACGAAAGTATTTCATTGTATTTCGAATAATTGGCGATCGCGAGGCTGTTTAATATTCAATCCGCGCGCGCGCGCGGGGCGTTTATTAAGAAACGTGATGAAATGCTAATGCGAAACGTACGAATGGCTGTTGCATGCGAAATAGAGTCCCGCCACCAATTAGAGCGGCTTTCGTATATAATCTTACTTATACTAATTGGCAATTTGGCGATAATCTCGTTTCGCGCGTACATCCGCAAACCGGATATTCCCGATATGTAGGAAGAGGAACGCATATTCCGCGCGGAGAGAGAGAGAGAGAGAGAGAGAGAGAGAGAGAGAGAGAGAGAGAGAGAGAGAGAGAGAGAATGAGGGGCTCGACGTTAAAGCCAGTTTATGTCGATTTCAACGACGCGCGTGTATATCTCCTCGTTATCAATAGTTTCTCGCACGCTATCGAGAGGTGAGATACTTTCGTTTTATCGTCAGGGACCGATCTGTTCGGCGTGACGCGTCCGTTCCTATGGCATCATCGCGACGATGATCGCGTCATCGCGCGCGGCGTGTACATGTATTGTACGGATATCTAGCTCGGGCAAGTAACGTCTTCGTATTGTGTGCCGAGGGCAAGTGTTAACGACGAGAGCGAGCCGACGAAACGGCAGCATCTGCTGGCGTTCTTCTATTTTCGCGTCGACGCCGCTGATTGACGACATGTGCCCGCCGTATAGTTCGACACGCACATGTCCCCGTGGAGAGAACGTCAGCCAGATAAAACCCGGCGCTTCTCTCCCTCGGAGAGGCAGCCACCGACCGCGATAATGGCTGTGGGACACATACCGGCGATAAAAAAAGGGGAAAAAAGGAGTCGGTACGACAGAGGCATACAACGTCAAGGCCACGTATCGCAGCATATGGCGAAATCCGCCGAGGAGAATATAAAAAACCGATGGACTTTCTATCGCTTCGTATGCGTCCTCGATCATGTTTTACACAACTATCTCTTTATTAAGCTCAATTATATCAATTCAATGAAATTCAAATTACTTTTGAGTTAGCCTGTATTGTTACTCATAATTACTTATAATTGCAAAACTTATAATAATACTTAATTACTTATAATTATAACTTAGCTTGTAATTATATGTGACACAATTTATCCTTTTGTCCTTCTTTTTTCAAAGTTTACATTTAATACGACACGAGCGATAACGTAAACGAATTTCCGAAATTCCTTTTTTCTTCTTTAGGCCCGAAGTCGGAAGTTCGCTTTATCTTTTTCTAATCTAAGAATTTGAAAGAGATAAACATTAAGTTAAACCGACATTAAAGTTAATCTTATATTTGTGGAACCGGGCCTTGAATTTCTCTCCTCAAATATTTTTATATAGATTTGAAACTTCGGCTAATATACCTACGTCAGACATTTCTTTTTCGTGTTAAAAAGAATACGTCGCGATTAGATGAAATTTATGTTCGATACTTGAGAAAATCACAGTCCACTATCGCGGAGTGTATTGGCGAACGTGTTATCGCAACATTGAATTTGTTGGATCGAATCGCGTGCACTGCGTCCGCCTATAAATTGTCGAAACGAGGCTATCGGACTATCGGCGTCCGTCCTTAATCGGACGTGACACGATCGCGCACAATGGGACGTTAATGACGAAGATAATCCGAATTGTCGTAGAGAGCCGAAAAATGGAACGCCGGATAATTTCTCATCGCGCAATCGTAAATCTGCACGACTGCATAACTTCGCTACTGCGGCATATTTAGAAAAGCGTGACGTCGATGATGAAATAAAATGTTAAAACTGGAACGGAAACGGCGACAATGAGTTTCTTCGCCGAGTATAAAATTCGGCCTCGGGTTAATTCGCACGCAGCTGTGTGCAATGACTCAAAACCGACAGTACTTCCGCTTCTACACGCTTTTGCCGGCCGATTCGCTAATATAAGTACGGAACATTCGCCGGCACGCATGATGGAAATTTGTCTTGCATCTGGCGGGGGCTTACGCGAAGCGATTCGAAAAACGCGTGTAGAAATTTCTTTTTCTCTACTTCATTTTCTTCTTCCGAGTGAATGCACGTCAATATAGGGGCGCCCTGACGCATCGATTCGCGATGCGATTCGCAATGCGTTCGCGCACGGCGCTCTCACCTGTATAATCGGTGTGTCGATGATGACTTCTGACGTACGACGGCGCGGGATGCCTGACCTGCTGCATGTCCCAGTACGGGTTCCGGCTGCTACCGAAATTGCTCACTCGCGTCTGCTGCGAGGGCGAGGACGACGATTGCTTGCAGGGCAGCCGGGCCATGGCGGTCGTCATCTTCTTTACGTTGGATCTAAGCTGATTGCCTCGTGGTGGACGTCCCGCTCAGTTTGTTACGCCGTCGCCTCAACCCCATTTTCGTGCTATTGTCTGCTCCCTGAAAGAGATCGAAATAAAAAATGTATCGTAAGTCGAATTGAAGATACTGTCATAAAGAAATAGATTTAATCAACGCGCTCGTTGTTCTCCACGAGATATAGCGCAACGATAGGAGATTAGCCTCATCATCACGAAATAGATCTCTTTATTTCAGAGAAACGTATGTACATTTAATTAAGAAGTTAACGAATTAATTTATTAGTAAATTCGTCGCAGCGCGATTTGATAGTATTTAATATAAAGACCATTGTTCCGCGGGAGGTATTATAAGAAATTTCGTGCACCGTGTATAGAATTAAGCGTGCAGAGCAGAACGCTGGCTGGTGTGTGGAGCGCCGAGTGGGAAAGTGCCAGTTCACGCGCTCAGTTTAATATTTATCGGGCTGATTGCATTGAATGCTATCGCGGCCAGATGCCTTTCATTACCATAACGCCGACTCTGTAATGCACGGGCTACCCGTTTGCCTCACAAAAGGATAAAACGCGCGCGCGACATCGGAGGAGCACCTGTACTTCTCTCAACCCGCGGGGTCCTCCCCCCTCCCTCCCCCTATCAATAGCCATTCCAATTTAGATCGCGACGAAAGGGCGCGTCACTCGTTTACGACAGCCCGCACACCCGTGTGTATCTTGTAACAATGCCGCCTAAATTAGTCGCATGAAAGGGGGGAGTTTTTTTGGCCTGGCGTTACTAAAATAAAAATATACATAGCACGATCGTTATGGTGGGGGGGGGGAGGGGTTATTAAACTCCGGCTAATCTAAGAGCATAAAAGCATGAAATGCAATAACATGAAATTGTTAGAATGCTTTAAATTAAGTTTGATCCTTGTATCTGAATTATACGTTGATAAAATTGTCAAAAATAATTTTACTCTTTTTTTATTACGATAGACAGAACAGCTGTTAAAATAACACTGCAGTGTTTATAGTATCTATAGGGTTTGTTGTGTCCTTCTCCCCCCTTAGCAACACCGGGTTAACTCTTAACTATGGATGTAAAGTCTCCGGGACTCCTGCCACTTTTCTGAACAGAATCGAGTTTAAGAAAAAAATTAACATTATTAAGAAATATAATATTAAAATTACTAGTTATTTAAAAATAAATAATCATTTTATTTTGTGCGCGATTGAAATATAAGAAAAACAAGTACGTATGCAAAGTGGACAGCGAATCATTTTTATTTCCCTTTTTCTCTTCGTATTTAAAAGTAGGAGTCTCTAATATAGAATTTCACCTATTAGTGTGTAATGAAAGCATATCCACAGTTAAGATCTCTTTACAGATAATCTATTTATATACATCGAACGCCATGCGAGAGTTCGAGAAGGCGACAGCTCAATAAATTTCAATCGTAAGCTGATTTAGGTAATTTGCACCATGAAAAGAATCATTGTCCGACGAGTCTAATCGTTCGAATGACGTCGTCTGGCTTACTGATTCCATAACTTTTATTAATTAGATGTAACTTATCAAGTTTAAACGCAATGGAGATAGGATAGTTTCTACGAAGTTTTACGAAAGACCAATTACGAAGTTTTATCGAGAGTTTACAAGGTATTTTTCGAAGCGAAAATTTTCGCTGATCTAGCGGTAGTTTCGGCTGTCTCGACATCGAGCGACGAAGGTATTGATATGCCGCCGCGAAATTTGTGACGTCCCACGCGGTCCGATATGGCGAGCTCGAGGCTGGCGAACGGTATACCTGCCGCTGTTGAAACAGCGAAATCGTTCGACTTGACCGAGCAAAAAGCTTCGGCCCCGGCCGAGTCCTTCTCTTCTGCGGGAGAGGAACGCGGCGGCGCGCGGCGGCCGGGACTCCGGCGTGTCCGTGCGCGCACGTGTGGCACATAAAAGGCGGCCGATAATATCGCGGCGAAGTGTGTGCCTACGTGTTCTTGTCGCCGCGCCGACGACGACGACGATGCGCTCAACGAACGGTATCCGTCCGTGCGCGGCGCGGCGCGCGTATATACGCGAAAGCGTGCGCGTATAAGCGTGAGATGTCCCAACCTGGCGTTGGACACACCGCCTCGCCGCCAGGACACGCATCGCCGATCGCGACGAACGTGTAAGTATTCGCACGGACGCACGCCTGGCACACGCGCGCGGGTAAGCCGACACCGACAGCCTATACCCGGCCGTCGTCACAGCGATTCGCGCCGATCGTCATTTCCCGTTGAATCGGCGGATTAAAAAAGAAAAAATACGACTCGACGAAGTTTACACCTGTTTTTCAGCTGTTAATCCTTTGAATGTCATAGGAGGCGCATATATGCGTCTAGCGAAATGTCATCGATGAAAACTGTGAACTCCATACGGGAGTATATATGCTCTTTTTACGCCGAGAAGCATCCCGTCCTCGGCGTTAGTCATCGCGTCGAGTCTCATGTCGTTCGTAACTATTTAGTTCTGTTCCCATGCACCCAAGGGAATGAAACTTCGAAGGTTCGACGAACGACAGAGCTCCGCGGAGAGCTCCGGTCGAGCTCCGGCAGTGAAAATTGTCTACCTACGCCAGCTACAACGGTCTCGAGCGCGTCGAAAGGCTGTATCGGGTCCTAATCGTCTGGACGCACGAGCGAGACTCCAAATCAATCGTATTGTCGCGGGGAAAAATTGCATCGGTGTTTGTGTACAACGTGTCGAATTGGACGAGATCGCAGCAACACACCGATGATCACGTTATTGCGAGCGAACGTGACGGACGTGACGGAACTTCGAAAGGCGGGATCCCACGCACGTGCGCGTTGTGTGTGCAGCGTGTGTGTGTGTGTGTGTGTGTGGAAAGAAGATAAAAGTTATCTTTCTAGCCCAACATCTTTCTCTCTCTTTCTCTCTCTCTCTTTCTTTCTATCCCGCAGTGGGAGATTCTACGTTTTCCAGCTGCTGAGTTTCCTCCTCCAAATGTTCACGCGATGGTCCCATCGACCGTGGTGGGAAGAGGAGCATTCCTCGTAGACCTCACGCATACGCACGTTATCACACGCACGGGTACCGCCTACGCGCAGCAGCCACTCGCAACCCTCTCACCTTCGCCGCGCCGACGTCGGTTGTTTGGATAGTCCAGCTAGACCGCCCGGCAAACGGAAGCTGCCTATACGAGTCCTTGCTAAGCAACGGTCGCTCAGGTCCGTTAAAAAGAAGACTTAGCAGGCAAACGATTGTAGAAAATATCTATTATAACAACCGATTATTTCGCTGACACAGCGTGCGAGTTTCAACTCTCTAATTTCGTCCTCAGAGAAAAGAACAAAGCACGCACGCGATATCTTACAATAATTAATTTTTAATTATTTTTTATGAGAATGGAACACACAGAGCGCGTGGAGTCAAACGTTTAAATCTATCTTTATCATCAGCAACAGTTTACATGTTAGTCTGCAAATCGAAAGTTCTCTTTATACAAGTTCTCTCGATAGCTTCGATGTATTAAATTCGCTGCATGATTATGCAAAAATGCATGTACACATCGAGATAAAATTATATCTTTATAAATCGCAATACTGGAGTAAAAACTTTATATTTGTACGCTGAAGTTATATATGTGGACCTAGTTTACAATAATAGAGATGAGCAGTTATTACCCCACATACGTCCTATGAAGGGTTAAGATGTGCGGAGGAGGATGACCGCCCTCGTCTTCCGCAATTACCGTATTTACCGTTTCGAGAAAAACGTAAACCTCACCGATTACATGCCCTGCCTATATATTTAGCGAGCCGCGTTTCACTTACGGATCTTCCATAAGCAATTTGCATCAATTTTTCGCCAGATCAGAATTACAAATCTGTTCAAATCCGCTTGAAATGCGATTTTAACGGTCCGTTAAGACGTTAGCGACCATATCTCTGAAACTTAGAGTCCTTTGGAGAAGTCTTTCACCTTCAAAGCTCAAAAAGTGTCCGGTCCCTCCAGAAAAATCGACTGGAGATAAATCAGAGACGCCGTAGATGAAAGGCGGCTTTGTAGGTCCGAGGGGAACACATCCCTCCCTCCCCCTGTGTGTGATGCGAATGCCGACGGACGCGTTAAGAGCGTAGTAGTAGCCGCAAAAACGTCAAGCCCCAGCAGTGTCCCGATGGTCGTAAACCATCGACGGATGTGTCGAATGAATCCGCCTGGTCAACAGTTTATGGTACGCGCGCAGCAATTGACCTACATTGTGTTGTGAGCCAAAAGGGAAGGGGGGGGGGCGTAGCTAAATTATCATCAGGACACTGACGACGCACGAGCGTGAGGGTGACTTAATTAGCCAATTGCGCAGCGCACGATCGGTGGTCTTAGGCCGAGGGAGACAGTAAGGGAGACCAGGGCGAAAAAAAAGAGAGACACAGAGAGAAAAGGGTCCAAATATCGGCCCGAGTAAGTTTCGTCACTCACGGAGGGGGCGAAACTCATCGTCGTCGGAGGTGCCGGGAGATGCCCGCCCAAATCCAGGACAAGGCGATTGAAACGTCAGCTTTATCCTTGAACGGAGCGCAAAAGGATTCCCGGATTCTCCGGCGGAATCAATTCGCCGCCACCGCCGCCCTCACCGCGGTTGTCCGCGTTCTCACCTAAACTCGCCTATTGACAGGTCCTATTGAGCGCGGCAGAATACGACGGGGTCGAGAGTGCGACTGCGGTGCACGCACACACAGATACGTTACATTTAAAATATTTTTGCCCTAGCACGTAGCCTTGCTCCACATACGGCTCCGCTATTCTTCTAAGGCTCACGCAGTGGGGGGTAGAGGAGGGAGGATATTTTTCTCTTTCAATGAGAGAGAATGCCGAACGTAAATTACTGCTAAACGAAATTCACGTATCGCCATTGAATTTCTACTCCAACTTATGTGTGTCCTATAATTCTTTTATAAAATACATATTGCAATATATTTTTTTCGTTTTTTTTTTTTTTTTTCATTAAGATCGCACGCCTCTTGCGTCGCATACTTGCGCTTTTAGCGTAAAAATAACCGATTATATTGTTGCAACGAGACGTGACAAAATAA